AACAAAATGGCTGCAATTTTGGTTCCAAAAAAAAACCTGTACTTGTGAGAACTTAGATATAAAAACTTTTTGTATCCACAGGAAAAAAAAAAATGTAGGACAAAGCCATGAACAATGTTGTGAGGGAAAAATCCAGAGAGGTCTGAGGCAGGAGATTAGGATGTGGCCAGCAGGCTGGGCAAGTGGGCGTGACCTGTCAATCAGAGATCCAGGATAGGTGCAGAAAAACAGTTCCCAAGCCCTGCACCTAGGAAAGTACTATCTTCAATTTTTCTGGTTCAAAACCAAATGGGTTTTGATAGGATGGCCTAGATGTAACATCAGCCTAAAGACCTCAGCCATTAACCTCATGGCCACTGTGAGCTCTCTAGGTGGCTGACTCTCATTTTATAGCATGCACTTCTTTTCCAACCTTTAATAAATGTAAAACTTCACTACCTTTTTCACATATCTTGTTCAATTCTTTGTTCAGGACACCAAGGACCTAGAAAGAGTTTATAGAACCTAGCAACAGAATGCAATTTTCTGTTTTGTATAATTTTTATTCTGCATTGAATTTTTGTGATTCTGATTTACTTAAGGTGTTTTTTAAAGTATTTTAAGTGCACTGCTAAAAATTAGATTTGGGATCCAAAATATATTACAATGAAACATTCCTTCAACTTGAGAGCAACTCTAGACTCATGATGACCCTGCCCAACTTACAATCTGCATTTCAATACTCTGGTGTAGACTACAAGTCTGACCTTCTTCCTGCAGTCCTATGCTAACATTTCACCACGATACAATTCTAAAACTGGGCTATGACTCATTTTCCTCTTCCAAACAATGCAAGTCCTACCGTATGCAGTGGGAAAAAACTACTTGAGTTGCTGGTTCACTGGACTGTTCAAATTAAGGTCAAAATATTGGGGCAGGAGTGAGGGACCTCCTGTGCCAAAACTGCATCTGATTCTCAGATCAGAAACGGAAGTACCTGGTCCCCTCTGAGAAAAACATGAAAGAATCCAAGACCAGCCACATGGACATGCCTTTTAAGTCATGCCAAGGAATAACACACTAGCAAGATAGTGGGCTGTACAGCTTAAACATCTTTAAGTAGCAGCATGAACATAATGTTTGATTTCTGTTATGCACTGAATGAAGTTATCACCCCACCCTGGGCTGAGGATTTAGCTCAGTGGTTCCGCTGCCTGTCTAGAAAGTGCAAGGTCCCAAGTTCGATCCCCAATACAAAAAAAAAAAAATGCCCCCAAAGCCTCATGCACTTATAGGTGGGGCTTTTCAGAGCTGGCTGGATCTATGATACTTTGATTAAGGGTGGGTGGTGCTAAATCAGTCCACTGTTCAGTTTAGTACAGTTCTGGCTGTGGATAATGGAAAGGCCCACCCTGGGTATGGGTGGCACCATCCAAAAGGCTAGTAGCCTGGATGGGATATCAGAGAAAGGGAGCCTTGCTATTTGCTGCTTTCCTGCCTCCTGCCTGCTATGCCATGGACTGTTTCTCTTCTGTGACACCTCTTTGCCATGCTTCCCTGCTGTAGAGCCAACTATGGACTGAAACCTCTACAAACTGTGAGCTAAAATAAACCTTTCCTCCTTTAACTTGTGAGTGTCAGGTATGTTGTCTCAGCAACAAGAAAAGTAACTAGGATAATTTCCTACTCCTAGATTCTCCCTACCATGCAAAGCTCATTATCAACTGAATAATTTTTTTATACTTTTTGTAGAATTTATCCCCACCTCAGCACTAAGGATTGAACCTAGGTCTCCAACTGAGTTAAATGCCTAGCCAGCCCTTCTTTAAATTTTTTATTTTAGGTCAGGTCTTACTAAATTGCTGAACTTCCCAGGCTGACCTGGAATTTGAGATCTTCTTGGCTCAGCATCCCAGAGTGCTGGGATTACAGGCATGTGCTGCCACACCCAACTAAAACTTTTTCCTTTTTTTTACCCGGAGCTATTACCATAGCTTGCAAAACATTTGAAAATGCATTACTTTGTTAATCTTAACCACAGCCTCCCAAAAAATCCTATTGGTTGAGGGTCTCAGAAGCTCAGTGACTCACATAGTTGGAAGCAAGGGTGGCTGGTACCCAGGGCTTGAATTCCAAGCCCCATCTCTTAAAGAGCTGTTCAGTATCACATTGCCCCACCTCCCCAAAAATCTCTCTGTTTCACACAAGTCATTCTCTTTACCCTTCTCCCAATTTAATGATCTGCATCTTCACATCTCTGTGAATTATATTCTATCTGGTCCTCCAAACCACAAACTCATGTTCTCTTTAGACATGAAGATCTGCAAAAACCTCACAGGCCCTAAAGAATTTTTGAGCAAAAGCCCGACCGCACTCTGATCTCTGGGAATTCTGTGCTTCTTTAATCACACATTGTCACCTGTGGGTTGGGCAGCCCCAAAGGACTGGCAAATATGCTCATGCTCCCTTCTTTCAACCACCACCTGACCTTGGATGACATCCCTTCCAGGCAGGGAAGAACTAACTCCTTCCTTTTTATATCCTTAGCCCCTCCCCTGAGTAAGGCGTGAACCAGGGCCTGTAGAGACGTTGACTAAATGGACAGAAGGATGGGATATTGTAGAAGACCTCAGCAACACTGGGGTGTGAATCCAAGAGAACTGAGAACCTTGTGACTCAGCCAGGGCTCAGGAGAACCTCCTGATAATGTCCCCAAATGACAACCGCCTCCACCTCCACACTTGTGCACTCACAAACATGTACACAAACACACACACACACCCCTCCTGATGAAATTCTTATACCCAAAGTTCTCAACCTCCCTTGTCTCACAAAGACACTCAGAAGGACCTTGCCCTAGAGCTTCTGCCCAGGCTGAGGTTCGGGCTACCATACCCCATTTTCCCCATCACCACAGACCCCAAGCTAAGCCTCTGCCCCACCTTCCTGTTGCCCCCAAGGAACTCATTCATTCATTCACAGTAGGTGTTGAGCCTTTCCTGCCTGACAGGCACAAAGTAGGGTCCTCCCTTGGTGAAGCCATCAGTCCACTGGGGGATGAGGAGTACCCCCTGTGCCCCTCCAACATGGCTCCCCTCCAGACACCCTTGGATAGCTTTTACAAAGCTACCAAGTCAAAGCCTAAGTTCAACTCCAGCAGAAGCGCTAGCTGGAGGTTTTCAGAACCCTGGTGATTCTAATGGGCAGCCGAGGTCCTGAATCCTTTAATCCATCTATCTAAAAAGGAAATGGCCAACACAAACATGGAGTCCTGTCAGCCACCCAAAGCAGGAAGGCAGGCAAGATAAGCAGGGCCTCCCAGAAGTGGTTTCCTGAGCAGGGCAACTTCCAGACATAAATCATCTGGATGCTAACAGGTACCCAGATACCCCAGGATGCCTCTGAACAATTTTTTATTTGGGACTTTATTAATTTTGGTCTCCCCCAGTTACAATACGGGTAACAATCAGTGAAAATGTTAATTTTAACAACAATTTAAGGTTTTTACTTCTCACAAGCTCACTGAAGAAAATCTACACTACAGAAACAAAAAAAATTTAGTTCAATAACAACTGATGAGAGAGATGCTAGGTCCCTGTGGGATTTGAAATCATGGACACATTGGTTTTCTATTTTTATTAAAATAACATGCCCTGAAATATTTTTTATTAAAAAACACTTTCTATTTTCCTAAAGCCTTCTGACTGGCCAGAAGGGAGGAAAGAATGCTGTTTAAATAGACCGGAACTCAACCAGTAGAGCACTTAAATACATTTAAAGCTGTGTTCTACTCATTTAATTCGCTTACTATTTAAAGGTTTGTCTGTATTTCTCTTCTAATTGTCTTCTGAATTCAACCACTACAGCTACCCCAGGCCCCCTGTAATGAGACAGTAAGACAAAGACGGGCTAACTACAGAGACGATTTGGGCCAGGCAAAAAAAGGCGATTAAAGTCAGAGTACAGAAACAACTGGGAAGGCAACAGTGTCTGCGAAGGCTGCTTCTACCCCTAAAGTTTAATTCAAGTTCCTGAAAAGTATTTTGTTTTGGTGTTGGGGCCATGGTTATTCAACAAGAGAGCAAAGTAAGAGCCAGTGAAAAGAACTGCAGCACATTGATATCTAGGACACTCAGCCAAGAAACCAAATTCACTAAGAGAACAGAGCCTTCTCCATTCATTGTCATTTAAATTTGCTCTCATATAGAAGATATTCCGAGTAAGCACTTAGCACCTCATTCATATGAAGCTAGGAAAGGAAACACTGAGAGGGAAAGAGTGATTCTAAAGGAAAAAAAAACATTTTTTTAAAACTCTACGTAGCCCAAAGGTTTTTCGGTAGTGACAATATTCATTCATGGATGTGTGGTCAGACAAAGTACATTATTGTGTTTACTCTCAAAAAGCTCAAACGACAGGCACATACTTTCATCCATTCAACAAGATGCAGATGTCCAAGCTGATCAGAAAAACTAAGTCACCGGTTACAGCACCACTCTGCCCAGTCCTCCGGGACAAGCCTGCGTGTCTCAAAGCCCCTGATTTATATCGGCCCCCCCCCCAAATACAAATCTGATTCTTCCCTTTCTCACCTCTAAATTTATATTTTAAAAAAAATTAAGCAGCTTTTCAGCCAACAGAGCAGCCCGAACACAGTATGGGATGCGGTCTGTCTGTGTTCAGCACCATGTAAGAGCCTTCCTCCACCTGACAGAAAGCAGTCCACACAACCTAAGCTACTTTGACAACAGTGAACCACGTTTGTCACAACACATTTGTGCTTTCGGTGCACTTTTTCCAAAGATGCCAACAATGCCAGCAAGTTATCACCTTCCCAAGAGCAAACTGAAGCAGGCAGTGCTGCTCTGGACTCCGCGGGGCAGACGTGCGTCGGAAGAGCTGTGAGTGCCTGTCATGCCCGCCAGGCCCTGCCTTCCCCACCATCGGCTCAGAGCCCGCAAAGGACAGAGTTCAGTCCTCCCTGACAGCCAGCCGTGTGTCCCGCAAGCTGACAAACTTACCTGGTAATCGCCTGCAAGCCTGGAGAGCCGCCTGCCCGGGGAAATCCAATTTGCACTTTTTCCAACGCAAGGCGGTAGCTGCAGGGCCGCTCATCACCTACAGCTGCTAAGACCAGGGCGAAGACGTGGAGGAAGTGAGCGACAAAAGCAGCCTGCGAACTGCACACTGGGATGTCCTGTGTTTTTCTTTTTCTTTCTTTTTTTTTTTGGTGCCTTTTATTTTTCCCATGAGAGGATCTGACTAAACCTAACCCAAACTCCTCTAAGCACCAGACAGGAAGTCCTACTCTGCAGTCAGTGAAATCTCTTTAGGTAGTCGTTGTTGTTGTTTTTAATAGTCACACTGAGGGCCTTTGAATGCTCTGATGTACTAAGGAGAGATCATCACTCTCTCCCTCTTGTGACAGTGTCAGGTGCCAAGGGCCACAGCACCTCGCTCCCCTGTATGTATCAGGAAAGGTGCTGGCCCTGGGTATACAACTGGGCAAAGAGTTCGGTTACATATTAACCATACTTCAAAGGATAAATTGCATTTATTATTTCATTTTAGTATGCCTTGGGGAAATAAAACTCAAAAGGCTTTCTTTTTAATCCCTTAGAAATTACTATCATGGATAAAAAAAAAAACTTAAGCACACAGATTTATAAGATAAGAGGTAACCATTTTGATTCATATTTTCCAGATTATTTAGGGTGTTTGTCTTACTCTCGTACTGTCATTTATGTCGCCATTAGCCACACACACACACACACACACACACACACACACACACACACAAACAAGCAAAGAAAGTTAGTATTCCTTGTCTGTCACCTGCTTTGTTGGTCTAATTGAATTATTTTTCTTTCCTGCTTTGAAATGGAAATTTTCTCCTCATTGCTAAGATTTTCATAGAGTGTGTATCTCTATCAGGATGCACACAAGTTTGAATTAAAAGGGATCACTCTTTCTGCTACTGGCTGAGGCACAGGAGAGAGAAGGCTGCCTAGAAACCATGTGACTGGATATGATACGACCTATGAATATGATATGACAGAATATCCTAAGCCTTGCGCTCCACCTGTGCACTAGGATACTCATCTCATCTGTCTTCTAGGCTGCAAGGAGACAGAGAAAAGCAGTGACACAAGTTATGTCCCACAAAGCCCAAAATGAGTAGCAGGCTTATTGATACGTAATTCAAATCATGTGCAATTAACCCATTTATAATGTCTGATTCAATGATTATCAGTACTTTCACAGAATTGGGCAAGCATCACCAAAATCGACAGCAGAACTTTTCTCATCACCCCCCAAAAACATTCATTCTCCATGACCTCTCCCTGCCCCAGCCCAAGACAGCCACTTAAATCTATTTCTGATCTCCAGAGATTTGCCTGTCCTGGACATTTCATGTAAATGAACTCCTCATATGTACTGTATGTTGGCTTCTTTCACTTAGCATGTTTTCAAGATTCCATGTTGTAGCATGTGTCAGTATTTTCATTTCTTACGGTTGAATAATATTCTACTGCATAGATAAAGCATACCTTACCTACACATTCATTGGTTAAGGGACATCGGGACTGTTTCAACCTTTTGGCTATTATGACTGCAGCTCTGAACATTTGTATCCATGTTTTTTATGTGGACACACATTTTCATTTCCAGGAGTGGGCTGCTGGGTAAAGTAGTAACTATATGCTTATCTTTTGAGAAACTACCTATTTTCCAATGCAGCTGCAGCATTTACATTCCCACCAGTGAAGTCTGAGCATTCCAATTTTTCTACATCCTCAACAACACTTGTTATTATCTGTCTTTTTATTACAGCCATCCTAGATGGGATGAAGTGACATCTCACTGCTGTTTCACTGGCATTTCCTGGATGACAAGCTAGCAAAGCCCAGTTTTTATCAGTATCCCAAACTGCCTCCATTCCCACAGGCACAGCTAAGGACTCAAACTATAAAACAAGTTCCTGGGCATGGTCCCCATCTAATCAGAATGGATATCAACTACAATGCCAAAGTAGGATCCTGAGATGTCCAGGTGTGGCAGGGGTTGTTTTCCAACAATCATCAAAGAACATTAGCATTTACGTGGCACCACTCTATGAGTTCCCACCCACCCAGGATTGGTGGCCTCTGAGTTTGTATCTCTAGTAAGAGGCTGCAGGTGCAGCAGGCCACTACAGGGTTGCTTCTGAAATCTTTTAAGAAAATGAAGTTCTAACAGTAAATATGACATGTCAGTCATTTACAAATCCATTCGTTTACCTGGGCTGTTTGTTTCTTTGTTTGGTGCAGTACTGAGGATTCAACTAAGGGCCTTCACACTGAGCTACATCCCAGGCTAT